CCAGTCCGGTCCGGCCCGTTCCTGATCCCCGGTTAAGGCCAGTGGTGTGTGTTCCCAGTACGGACCGGCCTGTTCCTACTCCACGCACCAAGCCCACGGTGTGCGTCGCCAGTCCAGCCCGGCCGGTTCCTGCTCCACGCACTAAACCAACGGTGTGCGTCGCCAGCCCAGCCCGGCCTGTTCCTGCTCAACGCACAAAGCCTACGGTGTGCGTCGCCAGCCCAGCCCGGCCTGTTCCTGCTCCACGCACTAAACCAACGGTGTGCGTCGCCGGCCCAGCCCGGCCTGTTCCTGCTCCACGCACTAAACCTACGGTGTGCGTCGTCAGCCCAGCCCGGCCTGTTCCTGCTCCACGCACAGAGCCTACGGTGTGCGTCGCCAGCCCAGCCCGGCCTGTTCCTGCCACCCGCACCAAGCCTACGGTGTGCGTCGCCAGCCCGACCCGGCCTGTTCCTGCCACTCGCACCAAACCTACGGTGCGCGTCGCCAGCCCGGTCCGGCCTGTTCCTGCCACCCGCACCAAGTCTACGGTGCGCGTCGCCAGCCCGACCCGGCCTGTTCCTGCCACTCGCACCAAACCTACGGTGTGCGTCGTCAGCCCAGCCCGGCCTGTTCCTGCTCCACGGACAAAACCTACGGTGTGCGTCGTCAGCCCAGCCCGGCCTGTTCCTGTTCTACGCACAAAGCCTACGGTGTGCGTCGTCAGCCTGGTCCAGCCCGTTCCTGCTACTCGCACCAAGCCAAGGGTGCGAGTCGTCAGCCTGGTCCAGCTCGTCCCTGCTACTCGCACCAAGCCAAGGGTGCGAGTCGTCAGCCTGGTCCAGCCCGTTCCTGCTACTCGCACCAAGCCAGAGGTACGAGTCGTCGGCCTGGTCCAGCCCGTTCCTGCTACTCGCACCAAGCCAAGGGTGCGAGTCGTCAGCCTGGTTCAGCTCGTCCCTGCTACTCGCACCAAGCCAAGGGTGCGAGCCGTCAGCCTGATCCAGCCCACTCCTGCTACTCGCACCAAGCCAGGGATGCGAGTCGTCAGCCTGGGGAGGCCCGTTCCGGCTCCACGCATCAAGCCTAGGGTGCGTTTCGCCGGCCCTGTCCGGCCCGTTCCTGCTCCCCGCACCAAGTCTGTGGTGCGTTTCGTCAGCCCTGTCCGGCCCGGTCCCGCTCTCCACACCAAGTCAAGGGTGCGCTTCGTCAGCCCGGTCCGGCCCATTCCTGCTCCCCGCGCCAAGGCAGTGGTGCGCGTCGTCAGCCTGGTAAGGCCCGTTCGTCCTCCACGCACCAAGCCAGGGGCGCGTGTCGTCAGTCCGGCTCCGGCCAGCGGGGCTAGACAGGACCAGGGGTACTTTGGGGGGTTGCAGAGGAGGTGGGGATCAAGGCCGGAGCCAGAGCCACCGCCGAGGAGGTATGCCCGCCCAGCCCTCCCTTGTTTAGCCCGTATTGAGGCGCGGTCGCAGTCCGCGCCTTTAGGGGGGGGTACTGTCACGCTCTGGCTCCGGGACTGTGTAGTTTGAGCCAGGGTGTATTCATTTGGTTGTGTTGGGTATAGGGTGTGTTCATTTGGTTGTGTTTGGTTTTGGTTGTAGTGTCTTGTCTCGTCATGTGACTCCCAATCGGAGGTAACGAGTGTCAGCTGTCGGCTCGTTATCTCTGATTGGGAGCCATATTTAAACTGTCAGTGTTCACCTTAGGGTTGTGGGTTTTTGTTCCATGTTTCAGTCTGTGTACTGAGGACTTCACTATCCGTCATTGTTTATTGTTTTCTTGTTCGTGCACTTTAACTTTAATAAAGTCATGTTCGCTACAAACGCTGCGCTTTGGTCCACTCCTTCCATAGACGGCCGTGACAGTTCAGTTTTAAAGTTTCAACCTAGATGATTCAAAGACAATGCCAGAATACATTTTCAACTAGCCTACATTTGTGAAAATAGACACATTCAATTAGAAGTGTAATATACACATATGCTATATATACACTTTCTTTGCACTAAACTGAACCCCTGACAAAAGCATGACAGGGTTAGAGTTCTGTTCTTTTTAAAATGGCATATTGTATTTGCATACGCAGCAATGGTTGCACTGGTCTTCGTTTTACAGTACATTCAATTACAAAATAGGAACATTAAAAGTGTTCTCTTCTTAATATGACTGTAAGTCGCTTTGGATAAAAGCGTCTGCTAAATGACATATTATATTATTATTATTAATGAAGTGCAAGTACCCAAACAACTTGATCTTATCAGCTATTGTGAAACTTTATATAAGTGTGCATTGATTGGTTACCATAAAATAATGATTAGAGCAAGTGACTTGATAAATCAATGGTTTCTAAACACTACATAAAACAAGCGAATGCATCCAAATCTCTCCCTTTGGGACAGTGCACCAGTCAGCGATCTGATCGTCTCCTCACATATATGAAATAAAAGTATTCTGTACAGTTGAAGAGGGGAACTGTGCTTTGTCTCCACAGTTGTTTTGTCCATTTGAAACTGGCCATGTCACAGGATCTCTTGTCCTTCAGGGCACTCAGATGCTGAATTCCTCACCCTAAGACTCTACTCCTTAGCCCCTCCTGTAGATCTGAATTCCTCACCCTAAGACTCTACTCCTTAGCCCCTCCTGTACATCTGAATTCCTCACCCTAAGACTCTACTCCTTAGCCCCTCCTGTAGATCTGAATTCCTCACCCTAAGAGTCTACTCCTTAGCCCCTCCTGTAGATCTGAGAGGATTGGATAGGTGGAAGCAATATGGTGACATTTCCACCTAGCCAATCAGAAGGTAAGACAAAGCCACTACCGCAGTGTACCTACGTATCCAAGCCTTTCAGAGCTACAGGAGTGCCTAGGATGGAAGGGCTAATGGTCGATATGGAATTGAGTGTAAGGTTCACACGGACCAAACAAAACATGGCTCCACTAACAGCAGGGGTCAGACATCTTCCCTAAGGTGGGGTAAAGAGGCTGTAAGCTGCTTTAACACTGTAAAGGAATTCATGAAACAGAGGAAAGAATTGGTCCCACCAACACCAAAGTGGTGGAATGCAAGCCAGACCTGAGGAACATCCTTGGCCAATTTAATCTACCTTCTTAGCAGCACTATCAACAAGGCAGGTCCTACAGGCTCTAGTTTTGTCACACCTGGACTACTGTTCAGTTGTGTGGACAGGTGCTACAAAGAGGGATTTAGGAACATTGCAGTTGGCTCAGAACAGGGCAGCACGACTGGCCCTTGGATGTAAACAGAGAGCTAACATTAATAATATGCATATCAATCTACTTAAGTAGTTTTTGGGGGTATCTGTACTTTACTTTACTATTTATATTTTTGACAACTTTTACTTTTACTTCATTACATTCCTAAAGAAAATAATGTACTTTTTACTCCATACATTTTCCCTGACACCCAAAAGTACTCATTACATTTTGAATGCTTGGCAGGACAGGAAAATGGTCCAATTCACGCGCTTATCAAGAGAGCATCCCTGGTCATCCCTACTGCCTCTGATCTGGTGGACTCACTAAACACAAATGCACAGTTAATACTTAAGTATATTTGAGCAATTACATTTACTTTTGATACTTAAGTATATTTAAAACCAAATACGTTTAGACTTTTAATACCTGTAGTATTTTATTGGGTGACTTTCACTTTTACTTGAGTCATTTTCTATGAAGGTATCTTTACTTTTACTCAAGTATGACAATTGGATACTTTTTCCACCACTGTCAATCTCTCCTGGCTCAAAGTGGAGGAGAGATTGACTTCATCACTACTTGTATTTGTGAGAGGTATTGACATGTTGAAAGCACCGAGCTGTCTGTTTAAATGACTAGCAGACAGCTCAGACACCCATACATTCCCCACAAGACATGCCACCAGAGGTCTCTTCACAGTCCCCAAGTCCAGAACAGACTATGGGAGGCGCACAGTACTACATAGAGCCATCACTACATGGAACTCTATTCCACATCAAGTAGAATCAGATTTAAAAAACAGATACAAATACATCTTATGGAACAGCAGGGACTGTGAAGCAACACAAACATAGGCACAGACACATGCATACACATAACATACGCACCATACACACACGTACACATGGATTTTGTGTTGCAGATATGTGGTAGTGGAGTAGGGGCCTGAGGGCACACACTTAGTGTGCTGTGAAATCTGTTATGAATGTATTGTAATGTTTTAAAAAATGTATAACTGCCTTAATTTTGCTGGACCCCAGGAAGTGTAGCTGTTGCCTAATAATAAATACAATACAAAAATAAATACAAATGCAATCTGCAGGTCTGGACTATAGGAAACAGCTTCAAACATAAGATTAAATGTATATTAAGAATGTGTTTATCACCTGATTGTCGCATGGCCAACTGTCACAAGAAGCTGTCATTGTTAGAGAGGGAAGATGAGTAAATTCAATGCAATCTGAAAATGGACTACTGGAATTTACTGATGCACAAAGTTACAAAACAAAACAAATAACATAGCAGCTAAGCAAATGAGCAAAGCCACACTGAGAAACGTCCTTTACTTTTGGTTCAACTCATTAAGTGAAACCTTATGCTGCATGCTTCTACTGCAGTGAAACCTCAACAGCATAAAGCACATTCAGTCGATGCAGTCCAACTCCAAGGACCTCTTTCAGATCAGTTCCTCACAGTTGATGTTATACCTCCCCTACCAGACCCCATGCCTCCTCCAGCCTCTATTCCATGTATTTCTTCATTCCATTCTTTTACATTTAGGTCTGTGTGTATTGTTGTGTATTGTTCGATATTACTGCACTGTTGGAGCTAGGAACACAAGCATTTCACTACACCCGCAATAACATCTGCTAAATATGTGTATGCGACCAATAAAAGTAGCTTTTATTTGATTTATTCCTCTGGTTCCAGAGGGCAGGGCGGGGTCCTGTCCATCCAGTGGCCTATGCAGGGAGTTCAGAGGCTGGGCCAGGGGAAAGCCCTTCAGCCTCTCCTGGAGACTCCACACTGCCAGCCTCATCTGGTCCTCAGCTGCCTGCAGAGTCTCAACCTCCATGGTGTGGAAGTAGTAGAGTAGGAAGGTGATGAGCAGGATGGCGAAGAACAATGCCCCCAGCAGGTAGAAGGAGACCTGGGGGAAGGGCTGGTTGGCTCCCAAGGCCAGCCAGTGGACAGCAGCGATGGCCAGCTCCAACAGCAGCAGGGCCTGACCCATTGTCACACCCTGGCTCTGGGGACTCTATATGTTGAGCCAGGGTGTGGATATTCTATGTTTTGTATTTCTGTGTTGGCCAGAGTGGTTCCCAATCAGAGGCAACGAGTGTCAGCTGTTGCTGGTTGTCTCTGATTGGGAGCCATATTTATAGAGGCTGTTTTCCCACAATAGTTGTGGGATCTTGTTTCCAGTTGGATTGTTCCTAGTTAGGTTTGTCCTTTGGATGTCACGTATCGTTTGTTGTTTTGTTTCGCTGTTCGTGTTATCATTTGATTAGTAAAGTATGTTCGCTTTCAACGCTGCGCCTTGGTCTACTCACTCTAACGAACGTGACAGAAGATCCCACCATACCAGGACCAAGCAGCGTGTCCAGGAGCAGGCGGCCTGGACATGGGAGGAAGCGCCGGGAAAGGAGCTGGAAAGGTTGGCGATGGCCCAGGTGGGCAAATCGTGGTCCTGGGAGGACATGCTTGGGGGCAAGGGGCCATGGGCTAAGATTAAGGCCCTGGCGAGAGAGGAGCAACGGCGTCAACAGTGTCGTCGTCGGACGGACGAGAGGCAACCCCAGAAAATTTTTAGGGGGGGGGCACACGGCATGGGCGACTGGGCAGCAGGAGGCTGCCACAGGGCGAAATGGGAGACGAGGAGAGAAGGCCACCGGGTTACGGGAGCCATTGGTGAGAGGAGGGAAGGAAGTTGTAGAGGCACGGCGAGAGGTACTGAGGTGTATTGCCAGTCCGGTCCGGCCCGTTCCTGATCCCCGTTTAAGGCCAGTGGTGTGTGTTCCCAGTACGGTCCGGCCTGTTCCTGTTCCTCGCACCAAGCCTACGGTGTGCGTCGCCAGCCCGGCCCGGCCTGTTCCTACTCCTCGCACCAAGCCTACGGTGTGCGTCGCCAGCCCGGCCCGGCCTGTTCCTGCCACTCGCACCAAGCCTACGGTGTGCGTCGCCAGCCCGGCCCGGCCTGTTCCTGCCCCTCGCACCAAGCCTACGGTGTGCGTCGCCAGCCCGGCCCGGCCTGTTCCTGCCACTCGCACCAAGCCTACGGTGTGCGTCGCCAGCCCGGCCCGGCCTGTTCCTGCCACTCGCACCAAGCCTACGGTGTGCGTCGCCAGCCCGGCCCGGCCTGTTCCTGCTCCCCGCACCAAGCCTACGGTGCGCGTCGCCAGCCCGGCCCGGCCTGTTCCTGCCCTTCGCACCAAGCCTACGGTGTGCGTCGCCAGCCCGGTCCGGCCCGTTCCTGCTCCATGCACCAAGCCTGGGGTGCGCATCGTCAGCCCGGTCCGGCCCGTTCCTGCTCCACGCACCAAGCCAGGGGTGCGCATCGTCAGCCCGGTCCGGCCCGTAGCTGCTCCACGCACCAGGCCAGGGGTGTGCGTCGTCAGTCCGGCACAACCCGTGCCTGGGACACCGGTGCCTGGTCAGGTACCGGTCAGCGGCTCCACACCGGAGCCTAAGCAATCCGCTTCTACTATGTCCAGTCCAGCTCCAGCCAGCGGGGCCAGACCGGACCAGGGGCGCCACGGGGGGATGGTTGAAGGGTGGTGGTCAAGCCCGGAGCCGGAACCGCCTCCGAGGAGGAATGCCCACCCAGCCCTCCCCTGGTTTGTTGATGTTTAGGCACGGTCGCAGTCCGCGCCTTTAGGGGGGGGTACTGTCACACCCTGGCTCTGGGGACTCTATATGTTGAGCCAGGGTGTGGATATTCTATGTTTTGTATTTCTGTGTTGGCCAGAGTGGTTCCCAATCAGAGGCAACGAGTGTCAGCTGTTGCTGGTTGTCTCTGATTGGGAGCCATATTTATAGAGGCTGTTTTCCCACAATAGTTGTGGGATCTTGTTTCCAGTTGGTTTGTTCCTAGTTAGGTTTGTCCTTTGGATGTCACGTATCGTTTGTTGTTTTGTTTCGCTGTTCGTGTTATCATTCGATTAATAAAGTATGTTCGCTTTCAACGCTGCGCCTTGGTCTACTCACTCTAACGAACGTGACACCCATCATCCCTGTACGGGTTGCCGTGTAACGCATTCTGTCAGCACAGTGCACAGCACAGTACGGGCCTCTGTCACTATGTCCACTAGCTCAGCTTACGAAGGACAAAGAGAAAATCCAATCCTAGTACCTAACATTGTAACTGGAATGGTATGTTGTCCATAGAGAATGTAGTGTGGTGAATATCGATTATCTTGAAGCTGTTAGAATCAAAATAACAATATTAAACAAATACTAAAAGTTGCATATCAAATCGTAATGGACCACATCTGGACTTAGAATGAGTACCTGCAGCAAAGTCCTGCTCTCCCCTGTGTCGTCCCCTCCAGCCTGCAGCGTCTGCATCAGGGTCTGCAGCTGCAGCTCAGTGCTCAGTGTCTCGTGGTCAGAGTAAGGGAGGGGATGGTCAGGGACAGAACCTTTGGTGGTGGACAGAGACTTACACTGGATAGACACTCTACTTGACCCCTGGGAATGATACAACACACTTTTTAGTGTACAAGATTTACCATCAATTCAATGATCAATGTCTATTTTATTTTGTGAAATGTAGGCACATTTATTGTTCAGTACACATTGGCAGACTGTTAGTCAAATATGAAAGTTAGTTACAAATTAAAACAAAAGCCGGATATCCAACTATCCTTCTCACTCTGTCACCTTGTAGAGGATGCAGTCTATTTGGATGTCCTTCTCAAAGGGACAGAGCTCTTTGGGATTGATGAAAGGGTTATCTGCTACAAGAGTGATGACGTCCTCACAGCACTACAGAGAAAGGATCATTAACAGCTTTTCATTCTAACATAACATTATAATAAGTATTAGAAGCATGTCCACAATTCATACAAATATCATTCCTTATTCACCTCTCCTACAAGATATTTCAGTTACTGTACATTTCAAATAAAAAAAGAACAACACTGGACATCATTAATGTGATTATCATACATCAAACTGAGCAGTCTCTGTATAACTGTCCCAGATGCAACCGGTTGCCAAGGTCCTGGGGATGCATGTTCAGATCTCCGCCAAAAATCCCCAGGTCTTCTCCACTGGAGGTATGACTAACACAATAAATCAAAACAACACCCGTTAAAATTACATTGAAATTAAAATGTCAAGAGAGGCTGTGTGCATTGAGTTTTAGGCTCCTTACCATATACACTGCTGCAGCTCCCATGCCTGTCCCACTCTATGAGGTAGGTAGGAGTCCTTCTCCCTCCAATTACTCAACCCTGCACCTTGACATGGAATCACCGGTCACTTTCATAATGTTTATATACTGCTTTACTCATTTCATATGTATATACTGTATTCTATTCTACTGTATTTTAGTCAATGCCACACCGACATTGCTCGTCCTAATATTTATATATTTCTTAATTCCATTATTTTACTTTTAGATTTGTGTGTATTGTTGTGAATTGTTAGATACTACTGCACTGTTGGAGCTAGGAACACAAGCATTTCGCTACACCCGCAATAACATCTGCTAAATATGTGTATGTGACCACATCAGTGATAGATACATCTCATATACAGTACATGTGAAGGCTCCAGGTAGAGGCTGCCCTTAGTCACAGATCTAGGATCAGCAAACTCCCTAAAATCCTAACCCTAACCATTATGGAGAAATTAACTAAACTGATCTGGGATCAGTGTCTATAGGCAACGTGTTGATGAGAAGTGTGGATATCAATAGTATAGAACAAGAAGGCCCGCACACTGTTAAAGCTCCCAATTCACCGCTTTATTGACAATGTTTAGATCCGAAACGGATCTTCATCAGGTCAAACAGACTGTGCTCACATCCCAAAATATACACATTTCACCTCACATGACCATTGCAGACATGACGCATGGTAGGTGCAAAAACAATTTGTGTATCTCTATTAATTTAATAACAATGAGATGGGTACATGTAGTAGTTCCAGAAAATACTATATATTTACAAAATGACCTAGTAGGTGACCTGGAAGGCAAGACCAATCAAAGTGACATATTCATGTAAGAAATGGTCTGATATCAAACTCTTGGTTCAGACCTCTAGGAGACATGGTACACAAATGGTGAATCCAATACAATTCTCTTCTCAATAATATATTATCAGTATCAGTGTGGATAGCAACACATACATGTGTGACGTAGACGTGTGCTGTCAGTCTGCCTCTGTTTAATATGACCATCCCCACAGCTTTGCCTCCTAACCAGTCTGCATGGTGGACCTGGAATCAGAAGACAGGATACATAGCCAGGACTAAAGAGAATGTCTGACTAACTACCAAAGATCCAACCATCAACCTGTATCCACACAAATGTCTAAAGACTAGATGACTTACCATGTATGGATAGCCGTTTAATGAATAGCGGCAGAGAAATGCGCCATGGATTCTATGTCTGGAGAACATGGCCAGTCCACTGCCTATGACTCCACTGGATGGAGAGAAAGAGGGAGAAAAAGACGTGTCTGCATATTGCACCTTTAAGGGTAGGCTACCTACAGAAGGACTTTATAACACATTCATAACCGATGTAAACCTATGAACTGCTTATGAATAGGGTATGACTCATAATGTCCTAATATAAGTACCGTTCAAGTAAAGTGTTTAGGCTAGCCCTATTAGTGTTATCATGTCTTACAGCTGCAGACTGCTACACATGATAAGACTGCAAACTACACCAGTCCAGATATAGTCAATACGCTGCAAAGTGTATGAGACTTCTGAATAAACTGTAAGAACGAACTGACTAAAATCAGCTGACTTTAACATTTGCTCCACTCTTTTAGTGAATTACTGAGCGGATTAGAAATGCAAGGCCTTTGAACTAATCTTAGTCTGGTGCCTTGGTATAGAGGTCAAACAAGTATAAAGATAAACAGCTAGCTAATCTTCCTGCTTTGAGGTCATTCTATTACAAAATAATTGCCTCACAAATGAATAGTAATGTTTCTTGTGGTTGAGATTAGAATGCAGTGTACAGTGCAGAGCAGAGATCACTGTGTGTATGCTGGGTTCTGATTAACGTAAGGCCTTAGAGCTGGGATCCGCAAAAGGTAAAACAATTGATGTTCTAGTATTTGTTTTGTTTTTGAAAAGGAGGAGATGAGCATCCATCAATGTAATAATGATTAATAACATCAAGGCAAGTGTTGAAAAGCTTGCTCAATAGAAAGGGATTGCTTTGGGGTGAGTTTGTGGTATGGATGTGGTTTAGACGTGGTACGGACGTGGTATGGACGTGGTATGTACATGTATACAGTATTTGGTATGAATACGGCTTTGGCAGAATGCCCAGACATTGGAGGCAGCTGTGAGATTAGTGGAATGGGGTGTAACATAGTGGACCTCCCTCACCAAAATATGAACACAACAGACCAGTGTGTGTGTGTGTGTGTGTGTGTGTGTGTGTGTGTGTGTGTGTGTGTGTGTGTGTGTGTGTGTGTGTGTGTGTGTGTGTGTGTGTGTGCACCAACCTCTTGCAGCAGGACAATATCATGCTCCTCTCTGCTCAACAACTCTCCGATCATGGCGTAGCGCTGAGGACAGGGCTTGCTGAGGTAACGGACACCCCTGTGAAGAGGAAAGACAGACATCACCACATTCTAGGCCTAAAAGCCTATGTGTGCCATGCAACATGAGATGCTTACTCTACACACTCTCAAAACAACACTCTGTAGACTAGACCATGTGTGGTTAGGCTACCCTCTGTGGCAGCGGAGGTTATAGTCCCTGCTGTGTGAGGATGAAACCACGTCCCTGGTTAGGATCAGGAGTGAGGACTGTGACTGGAACTCCTTCAACAAGACTTCAATGAATTGATTTCAATGAATTTAGCCAGAGAGGAAGAGGCGAAGCGAGATGGATAACTGGGCCCAAAATCTTCTCCAGCATGTGGCGTTTTTTCCTCTTTTCTTTTCTCACCAAGCGCAGAGTTTTTGTACGGAGATCAATGAGAGTGTTGAAAAAATAGAATGTCTTATTTGCTAGGTGTCTCTTATTTGATCGAATAGAAGTTTCGTAATGATTAAGTGGTTAAGAGTGTACTGATATATACGGAAGTCCAGAGAGGACATATGAATAAAAACATAATTCTCTCTTTATGTCAAGATCACAATTTATTTATCTCATGATCCCGAAATAACAAAAGTTGTTTTGTCGAAATCATGAGATAAACTCTATAAATAGGAGTGGAAGTATTGATGATAGATTGGCAGTATGGCTAAGGTTGCAGAGCCCACAGTGGATCCGCGCATACGTTTTTATTGATCGCTACACTAAGGGATGGTACATTTTATGCTAACATCATGCTTTAATTTGTGTTTGGAGCTCATTATCAGTTTATAAGTTAGAATGAGAGCAAGCTAAATGTCCCTTACCTTGAGCTACTGCTCTTGGGACAGTTAAGCCCTCGTGGGGCATTTAAGCCCTGAATGATGCCTGACAGGCAGCCCTGTCTCCCAGGCTGTGCCACCCCCAAGACCACAGCCAATCGCATGCAAGCAACAACTTGGCCAGTCTTGTCAGAGAGCGATCTAGCTAGCTAGTTAGCTAGGTAGTCTTGTTATTTATTCTGGTTGTTAGCTTGCATAACTGATACATGTATAATTGTAAGGGCACTTCATGTTTTATGGATAATATTGACATTTACAGAGTGGGTGAGCTCCATTCCTGACAGGCTGGTCAGATTCAATAGCAGCCTCAGAGGCTAATAAGTCAGGATGCTGTATTGTACATTGTTTCATTCATAAAGCCCATTGCAGGCAGATTAGCAGTCAGTGCATTATGTATATGATGAAGAGTGGATGCGCTCTATTCCTGGCAGGCTGATCAGATTCAATAGCAGCCTCAGAGGTTGATAAGTCAGGATGCTGCCTTGTAAGCTGTCTGCAAGAAGCCTTACTTATCATTTACATTTACATTTTAGTCATTTAGCAGACGCTCTTATCCAGAGCGACTTACAGTTAGTGAATACATATTTGTTTATACTGGCCCCCCGTGGGAATCGAACCCACAACCCTGGCGTTGCAAACGCCATGCTCTATCAACTGAGCTACATCCCTGCCGGCCATTCCCTCCCCTACCCTGGACGACGCTGGGCCAATTGTGCACCGCCCATGAGTCTCCAGGTCGCGGCCGGCTGCGACAGAGCCTGGATTCGAACCAGGATCTCTAGTGGCACAGTTAGCACTGCGATGCAGTGCCTTAGACCACTGCGCCACTCAGGAAACCACCTGCAAGGCTGCCTCCTGATTTATCAGCCCCTGAGGTTGCTATTGAATATGATCAGCCTGCCAGGAATAGAGCTCACCCAGTCTGGATTATATGCATCAGCCTATAAAGCGCTGACAGCTTATCTGCCTGCAAGGAGCTTTACCTTTGAAACAGACTACAAGGCAGCATCCTGACATCAGCCTCTGAGGCTGCTATTGAATCTGATCAGCCGGCCAGGAATAGAGCTCACCCCATGGATAAGATATGCATGCGTCTGCCTATAAAGCACTTTGACAGCTAATCAAATACCATTTTATTGAACATGGGCCGTTCTTACAGTGTTCTCCCTGTACACCAAGTCAGAACCGTAGGATAAATAAAGGGGGCATATAAGCAGACAATGAAAGCTCTTACAATATTCAATGATTACATTTATTTAAAACAGGTTATAGGCTACATGTGCACCACCAAGTCAGAAGAGTAGGCGGAATTAAGAGGGGAAAATAGACCATATTATTAGGGTGAGGCACATGGGCTACTAACAGCTTACTACACAACATACACTTAGTATTACTTTCTTAACTAGAGTATACATATCTCCCTGGCATATTACATTATTTATGCAGCAGCATACAATACATTTTTGGACTCACCTTGTTGTGCTGTGCTCACTTGAACAGGAATGTGGCGCAGCGGTCCCAACTGGGAACTTGGGAAAAAAAACCCAGTCTGAGTTGTTTTATTTTCCCAGTCGGAGCTCGTTTTTTCCCGAGTTCCCATGTTGTCTTGAACTCACTGAAGTCAAGTTTTCGCAGTTCCGAGTTGTTTTGAGCGTGGCACAAATCATGCTTCATTGACAGCATGGCCAATGTTGAACGTTGACCATTTTAAACTTGGAAAAGAGACCCTTAATCCCAGATTTGGGACCACACAGCCACTCCACTGAATAATAATAATAATAATAATAATAATAATAATAATAATAATAATAATAATAATAATAATATGGCTAGTTATTGCTTTGCAATGCTTGCAGTTAGCCACAGATTCCTTCCAAACCACTCATTGTTGAATTTGCGATTTCCAACTTGTTGTGTAATGTTTATGTCCAATGACCTTGAGCCTTCATGGATGGGCACTTCTAAAGTAAATCTATGGCAGCACCCAAGGGGCTTGAATTTTCGAGCTCTACCCTTAGACTTGGCGGTGACATACTGTCCCCACGAGTGACAGAACACTGAGCTAGAGAACATTCCCAACACCTACGCTCTGTATTTTCCACTGGCTGCCCCACCACCACAGAAAGCACTGAGCTAGGCTGAAACACCTACATTTTGGAGCTGCCTTACTCAAGAAAGCAAAAAAGAGACCATGTTTGTATGGGGCTTTATTAACTCAATGATTTTTTATTTTATTTTTACATTGTTTGCAAACGGATATATGACACGTATTAATGCCAAAATAACATGCAAAACAGGCAAGCCCTCCCCCTCAAAAAAAATATATATACTTTTTTTTAAAATAAAAATGTGGGGCTCAAAACAGGTGGGGCTCTGCCTGAAAATATATAAGGTGATTAGACTGAAAAGATACAAGGTGATTTCGTTAAACTTGTGAGGCTCTCCATGCTCATTAGTTGCTCATTCAACATATTTGCCTCTACTTCACTCAATCCGGTTTTCAAAGTCTCCCTTCCTAACTGTTTTACATCCCCTGAGACCAACCAGAAATGTTTCTTTGGCCAAGAATTCCCAGATTTCCATAAAACAGCCACACATTTGGTATCTTGTTTCTGCATTTTGTGGGGGGGAGGGAGGGGGGTGCTGCCAAAAAAGAAGAGAAAAAACAAATTCTGTGAATGTCCAGCAAAATCATCCCTTTGTCCTGCATTTGGGAATTTTAAATGTGATCACCCTAGGTGGTATCGCGCAGCTGAACAAATTATGCCTGGTGCTTTTGTTTATATTGTGATCTCGACAAAACAACTTTCGTTATGTAGTGATCATGAGATAAACAAGTTGTGATCTTGACATAACGAGGGAATTAAACTTTTTTTTATTAATATGTTCTCTCTGGAATTCCGTAGATATAAGTAGGACAAAAACACTTTATATCGGAGTTGTTATGTTGTTCATATCATAGCTGTGGATACACGCGTATCTACCCTCTCATTGGCTAGAAGGGTCGCACCTGATCTTGCCTCCTCACAACTGCCTTCCATTTTCTAAGACATTTTTAAGACATTTATTTTCATTGTTAGAGTGGCCACTTGAGTATTTGGTCAATATAAGGGATAATCTATGGTGGTGGTGAGTTCAGGGACCCTCGCTCGCTTTGCATTGTGGGACTTGACGTTTCAATGGAAATGTGTTTGCGTGTGTGCATTTGAGGCTTTGTGGGCTTTTCACAGATGTGTCTAATGTAACCAAACAAAAATGCATAGACATATCACAAATCAGTCAAGTCATGACAATTCGCAATAATAATAATAATTAATATTTGTTAATTAGCCCTCATGTTCAACTGACTGGACATACACACCTTGGTCGATATATACAGTGCATTCGGAAAGTATTCAGACCCCTTCCCTTTTCCCATATTTTGTTACGTTACAGCCTTATTCTAAAATTGATTAAATAATTTATTTCCTCATCAATCTACACACAATACCCCATAATGACAAGGCGAAAACAAGGCGAAAACAGGTTTTTAGACATTTTTGCAAATGTACTGAAAACAAAAAACAGAAATACCTTATTTACATACGTTTTCAGACCCTTTGCTAAGAGACTAGACATTGAGCTCAGGTGCATCCTGTTTCCATTGATCATCCTTGAGATGTTTCTACAACTTGATTGGAGTCCACCTGTGGTAAATTCAATTGATTGGACATGATTTGAAAATGCACACACCTGTCTATATAAGGTCCCACAGTTGACAGTGCATGTCAGAGCAAAAACCAAGCCATGAGGTCGAAGGAATTGTCCATAGAGCTCCGAGACAGGATGGTGTCGTGGCACAGATCTGGCGAAGGGTACCAAAAAATGTCTGCAGCATTGAAGGTCCCCAAGAACCCAGTGGCCTCCATCATTCTTAAATGGAAGAAGTTTGGAACCACCAAGACTCTTCCTAGAGCTGGCCGCCCAGCCAAACTGAGCAATCTTGGGAGAAGGGCCTTGGTCAGGGAGGTGACCAAGAACCCGATGGTCACTCTGACAGAGCTCCAGAGTTCCTCTGTGGAGATGGGAGAACCTTCCAGAAGGACAACCATCTTTGCAGCACTCCACCAATCAGGCCTTTATTGTAGAGTGGCCAGACGGAAGCCACTCCTCAGTAAAAGGCACATGACAGCCTGCTTGGAGTTTGCCAAAAGGCACCTAAAGGACTCTCAGACCATGAGAAACTAAATTCTCTGGTCTAATGAAACCAACATTGAACTCTTTGGCCTGAATGCCAAGCGTCACGTCTGGAAGAAACCTGGCACCATCCCTACGGTGAAGCATGGTGGTGGCAGCATGTTTTTCAGCGGCAGGGACTGGGAGACTAATCAGGATCGAGGGAAAGATGAACGGAGCAAAGTACAGAAAAATTCTTGATGAAAACCTGCTCCAGAGTGCTCAGGACCTCAGACTGGGACGAAAGTTCACCTTCCAACAGGACAACGACCCTAAGCACACAGCCAAAACAACGCAGGAGTGGCTTCGGGACAAGTCTCTGAATGTCCTTGAGTGGCCCAGCAAGAGCCCGGACTCGAACCCGATCGAACATCTCTGGAGAGACCTGAAATTAGCTGTGCAGCGACGCTCCCCAACCAATCTGACAGAGCTTGAGAGGATCTGCAGAGAAGGTTGGGAGAAACTCCTCAAATACAGGTGTGCCAAGATGACTCGAGGCTGTAATCGCTGCCAAAGGTGCTTGAACAAAGTACTGAGTAAATGGTCTGAATACTTATGTAAATGTGATATGTCAGTTGTTGTTTTTTATACATTTGCAAAAATTTATAAAAACCTGTTTTTGCTTTGTGATTATGGGGTATTGTGTGTAGATTGATGAGGGGGAAAAACAATGTAATCCATTTTAGAATAAGACTGTAATGTAACAAAATGTGGAAAAAGTGAAGGGGTCTGAATACTTTCCAAATGCACTGTATGTGTCTGTGCTTGAGCCTCTGAGAATCTGGGGACATTCATTTTTCCAAAAAGATAGTGTAGCTTGACAATATACCTGAATAAAGCCTACACTCTTAAAAAAAAAAAGGTGCTATCTAGAACCTTAAAGGGTTCTTCGGCTGTCCCTATAGGAGAACCCTTTGAAGAACCCTTTTTAGTTCCAGGTAGAACCCTTTTGGGTTCCATGTAGAAGGGTTTTACATGGAACTCAAAAGGGTTCTACCTGGAAGCAAAAAATGGTTATCCTATGGGGACAGCCGAAGAACCCTTTTGGAACCCTTTTTTTCTTAGTGTACTCATATCATAGGTCTGCCTGGGTCTACTAGGCCTAATCTTGTGTTCTCCTGGTCCTCAGTAGAAATGTAACAGACCAAGGAAAGTGTGCAGTACAACATAGAAATACTGTATATGCAATACCTGTTTGAACAGTATAACACTGCCATCTACAGTAGTTTACAATGTATCTAATCTGTGAAGGAAACTGCATTAACCACTCAAATGAATAAACCTGTTTTAATGAGTTTTCAGGGGAAAATGGCCCCAAAGGCACCATGCGTCTTTAATTGTTAGATTACACATTTTGATTTGAGTATATAATACAACCCCCTTAGTTTGAAGATAACAGAAAATACTAAAATGCAATGCACAATTGGTAACCAAGGCCACAATAAACCACCTTTTAACCAAACAAACTTGCCCACACCATTCAGATTATGATACATAAGATACAGCATCTCATCATCAATGTCAACAAAAACACACGTTTTCAACGGATGCATATGGCTTCTGCTGAAAGTCAAAAAAAACGAACAGAAAACAAAAGTATTAATTGTTATAATGATAATAAAAAACAAGGGCCTGTAAAAAAAGGTAAAATTGAGAAGTCTGCTAGTAAGGATTTAGCAGTTGTTTTAAGTCTAGCTCTTGAAGTACTAAATCCACCATACAAAGTCTGATGTATGAATTCTTATGACAGAAGTCCAGTGAACTGTCCAAGGCAGAGACCATCCCCTAGCTAGGGGATTAAGGTTATTGTGTCTTTAGTATAAAGTTCAGCTCAGCAATACTTGTAACACCTCCATTTCAATGGCAAAGGATAAACACATGGCCCATTTCCCAGCCCAGCCCTGCCCTCCCACCATTCGTTTCAATATAAATAACAATCAATGGTCACACACCACAGTACAGAGGATAGCTCTCTTTCAAAACATAAAAGCTGTTTTTCATTGACTGATGGCATTGGCAAATTAAGATTAATTTCTTGAAGGTTTGCTCATAAAATAAGAGATAGCTTTTGTTTTTATTAATACAATTTAGGAAAGAGAAACTTATCTTACACTATGTAGGCTTAGGGAAAGGGGATACATAGTCAGTTGCACAACTGAATGCATTCAACCGAAATGTGTCTTCCGCATTTAACCCAACCCCTCTGAATCAGAGAGGTGAGGGGGGCAGCCTTAAGGGACATCATCGGCAGCCGGTTGTTGTTAGGGGGGTTAACTGCCTTGCTCAAGTGCAGAACAGCAGATTTTTCCACCTTGCCAGCTCGGGGATTCAAACCAGCAAACTTTTGGTTATCTCTCGATTGGGGAGATTGGATTAGAATACCTGGATTTCTTACATTAGTTGAAACTCACCGTTAAATTTGGTCAGTTCCAATTTGGCAATGTCGAATCTGGTGAATTCACAAGCCATGTTTTTAAGAAAACAGTGTTAAAGTGAATCACAAATATAAACACGTCCCCAAAAAAGTATCCTATGTAACACATATTCCTGTAGCATCCACTGACTCCCAGTACAGAAACGGTTCATTTCAATAACATAACTAAAGGCTGAAAATACAACTCTTTGTTGCTTCACCCCTTCGTGACCTTTTAAGTGCACCACAGCACATAGATGTGTTGTTGTCTAGACCCATAAAAGCCTAGGGACTAGAAACTGAATGATCTGATCATGCTATCCACTTGCCGTACACGTGGACTGCATCTAAACTTGTAACCATTCAATACAACACATCAATAGAAAAATGAATAATAGTTTAATCCATAACATAATGTGCCTGGATCAGAAGTGTGCTTCAAGGATCTAGATAAGAAAGGGTGAACTGCATAATCATGTTCAGTTTCCAATTCATTGATGCATTTACATCCGTTCGGTTTCTTTCTGTTTATTTAAAGACAAGAGGTAGTACATAAGGCATTCCAGAGTGTCTGGCAACTGATCAATATGTGTCTTTGGAGAAAGGCACTTGGCTGCCATCCTATCTAATTGATCAACACCCCTCGGTAGGACCCTTCTACTTTTGGATTCTTTTGTGTTTGTTCTTCTTCCATGGTCTTTGTATCTGTACCATTCCAATCTATCCACTTCTTCTTATATTGCTTAGAGTGTGTTTCCTTGGAGACAACTCTCTTAGCCTTGTTCACTTTCTCATGCCCTCAGTGAATCTCAACCTACTGTACATTTACTGTCATTACCAATTTGACCCAACTTGTCTCAGCACATTTAACTATATGGGTTAAAAAGTCGCCCTTAAAACAAAACAATGAATTCTCCTCATTTCCTTTCTTGTCTATTGAGAGACGTCATCCTTTTTCCTATATTACAAATAACTGTGTGGAAGTTTAAAATGTGTTCATGTCAGTTCATCCTAACGTCGTTTTGAATGTTACAGTTGAGCAGTCTGTACTGTACATATTGTCACGCAGTGCTTCGTCAGCTGATTCCCAAACCTCCCTGCAGAACAGTGGGTGGGTCAGTCTTCGACGAGACTGTAGACGTAGCAGAATGGTGGGTGGGTCAGTCTTTCACGAGCCTGTAGACGTGGTACTGTGCCCCGTGTTCACTCGTCGAGACCTCGAACACAAAAGCTATACATAGCAAGGTCTCCTGGGTGTCACGGTCTGTCACCACCTGGGGAATGGAACAGAAGTAGGACAACACCAGGTCAAATACAGGTCATCCACTTGTAGTCGTATACTTGTAGTCCTATACAGTAGGTGACATATCAATCAATCAATCAATTCACGAAGCACAACAAAAGGAGGAACAATGAAGCAAAACCAATGAGGTCAAAAACATATAATCTATTGTTCTAGGTTGAAATAGTCACAGTGTATTCTCAAATTGTAAATTAGTTACTATCTTATTATCTTGTAATAAAGCATAATGTTACCTGAAGTATAGTGAAGTTTTCCAGAACACTGTTCATCATGTATTTTTCTGGCAGGTGTTTGAGCTTGTGGATGAAGTTGATCATGTACTCGCACATGGGAGAGCGGTGGATCCTGTAGACACACTTCCCTCCCTCCATCCGGGCGTACTCCGTCTGAAATTCACAAAAGGAGAGATTTTAAAACTCGGCAAAACAGCAAACATCTGACTTGAGGTAAACGTGATTGCATGAAATGCAATTATAGTGTCTGACAGTACATTTAATTTAACCTTTATCTTCTACCTGGAACGACCTGACAGCTGTTTTTGTGACTATAAAGCAGACCCAGTGGACAACGGCCTCACCTCAACTTTCTCAACCACCTGTTTGCCGAAGGAGCAGACTTTGGTGGAGACGGTGATGGTCATGTTCTCAGAGCTGCTGTACTGGCTGCTAACTCCGTAGAAGGAGCCTGGGCCGTCCTGCATGCCACTGCTGTTCAGATCCGCCTGCAGAGACAGGACACACACAGGACAAGTCAGATTAAAGCTAAGATAACAGGCCTAAACCCTTTGGTTTTATTCTACTCTAAAGGACAGAATACTCAAACTACCAAAAGGGACTGTGTGACTGTGTGAGAGTGTGACTGTGTGAGAGTGTGACTGTGTGAGAGTATGACTGTGTGACTGTGTGAGTGTGACTGTGTGACAGTTTGACTGTATGAGAGTGTGACTGTGTGAGAGTATGACTGTGTGAGAGTGTGACTGTGTGACTTTGTGACAGTGTGAGAGTGTGACTGTGACTGTGTGACTGTGTGAGAGTGTGACTGTGTGAGAGTGTGACTGTGTGACAGTGTGAGAGTGTGACTGTGAGAGTGTGACTGTGTGACTGTGTTAGAGTGTGACTGTGTGAGAGTGTGACAGTGTGAGAGTATGACTGTGTGAGAGTGTGACTGTGTGACAGTGTGACTTTGTGACAGTGTGAGAGTGTGACTGTGAGAGTGTGACTGTGTGAGAGTGTGACTGTGTGACTGTGACTGTGTGACAGTTTGACTGTATGAGAGTGTGACTGTGTGAGAGTATGACTGTGTGAGAGTGTGACTGTGTGACAGTGTGACTTTGTGACAGTGTGAGAGTGTGACTGTGTGAGAGTGTGACTGTGTGGGAGTGTGACTGTGTGAGAGTATGACTGTGTGAGAGTGTGACTGTGTGACTGTGTGACTGTGTGACAGTTTGACTGTATGAGAGTGTGACTGTGTGAGAGTATGACTGTGTGAGAGTGTGACTGTGTGACAGTGTGACTTTGTGACAGTGTGAGAGTGTGACTGTGAGAGTGTGACTGTGTGACTGTGTGAGAGTGTGACTGTGTGAGAGTGTGACTGTGTGACAGTGTGAGAGTGTGACTGTGAGAGTGACTGTGTGACTGTGTGAGAGTGTGACAGTGTGACTGTGTGAGAGTGTGACTGTGTGAGTGTGAGAGTGTGACTGTGTGAGTGTGAGAGTGTGACTGTGTGAGTGTGAGAGTGTGACTGTGTGAGTGTGACTGTGAGAGAGTGTGACTGTGTGACTGTGTGAGTGTGAGAGTGTGACTGTGTGACAGTGTAAATGTGTGACAGTGTGAATATGTTAGGGTATAACAGTGTAGGTTTAAAATCCATACACTGCCCAGTAAAATAATTCAAGGTGAGGATAAAACAATAAAGGACAGAATACTCAAACTACCAAAAGGGACTGTGTGACTGTGTGAGAGTGTGACTGTGTGAGAGTGTGACTGTGTGAGAGTGTGACTGTGTGAGAGTGTGACTGTGTGACTGTGTGAGAGTGTGACTGTGTGAGAGTGTGACTGTGTGAGAGTGTGACTGTGTGACAGTGTGACTGTGTGAGTGTGACTGTGTGAGAGTGTGAATGTGTGAGAGTGTGACTGTGTGACAGTGTGACTGTGTGAGAGTGTGACTGTGTGACAGTGTAAATGTGTGACAGTGTGAATGTGCGACGGTGTGACAGTGTAGGTTTAAAATCCATACACTGCCCAGTAAAATAATTCAAGGTGAGGATAAAACAATAATTAAATTGATTTGTCAAACCATCAGTATAAATACATTATTGAACCGGATGACGTCATCATCACCCACCCAAAATTTGACTAGGAAAAAGGCGTTCTGGGGGCCTTTCTCATAAAGCTCTTTGAGTCCGCCCTTCTTCTCTGGGAACTTGTCGTAGATCTGCCTGATGTCCACTGCCTCCAGCAGAGGGTCGCTGTAGGACGGGTTGGTCTGGCCAATGTGGACAAACAGGTGTTTGCTGTACTGCAGGGGGAGAGAGAGGAAGATGGTCAGACTAGCCGCCATGACAGAAGTCTAGCTTGACCATACTGAGTTAGCGCTAGACATTGAGTCTGACTAGTGTAACTATGTGGACTGCAAAACATAGGCCTTTATTGACAACTTTGATTAGCACTGGTTGGTTAGTGTGGTTGGTTAATGTGGTTTGGTGGTGTAGTTGGTTTGGTGACTCACGTTGTCGGGGTCCCTCTGCACCTCCATGAAGGCAGAGTACTCTAACATCCGCAGCTTGGAGGAGGCGATGGTCCGGTCCTGCCACACGGGCACCGCCGTAGCAGCCGGGGGCAGGGGGGGTGCCAAAGGCTCATAGTCTGAGAGAGAGAGAGACTGATTTTAATTTCTGTATTAATGTTAAGCACCAGATATACTGCTGATGTGTATGTTATATCACATGTTTCATTACTGCCATCTTTGGACAGTTCTCCCTTTTAGATATCATGAATGAGGACGTACTGTATGAATGTATGAATGAAGATGAAAGCTAACTGACTTTGACTCCATACTCACTTGATATAGGGGGAGGGGGGGGGCCTGGTAGAGTTGTGTATGGAGACGGTGCAAAAGGTTTGATACTGAAAGAGAGAATGATTATCACACCACAGTTGAGGAGTCAAACTTTTCAGTTTTCATCCAACTGTGTTTATTCCACATATTTCCAAAAGTGAAATTCCATGTGAAACCTGGTTATGCTAGTGGCATGTTGCTTTGGGCTTCATTGGCATGTCAGACAGACGTGGATCCACAGTATTATGACACGTTTCTCAACATAGGCATGTCAGACAGACGTGGATCCACAGTATTATGACACGTTTCCCAACATAGGCATGTCAGACAGACGTGGATCCACAGTATTATGACACGTTTCTCAACATAGGCATGTCAGACAGACGTGGATCCACAGTAATATGACACGTTTCTCAACATAGGCATGTCAGACAGACGTGGATCCACAGTATTATGACACGTTTCTCAACATAGGCATGTCAGACAGACGTGGATCCACAGTATTATGACACGTTTCTCAACATAGGCATGTCAGACAGACGTGGATCCACAGTATTATGACACGTTTCTCAACATAGGCATGTCAGACAGACGTGGATCCACAGTATTATGACACGTTTCTCAACATAGGCATGTGTCTGTGGCTGCACCAGCTAGGTGTAAGTCCACCTCTGCTTCACTCTGTCATATTGCTCTACACCATACACATAGTGATGCTATTAACGTACGCTGACTGATTGGTGGATTGATTATTTGATTGATGTTTCTCTGCGGACATTCTCTGCTCATGTGATTGTGGCACATCATTTAAGTGTGACATGTGAACGTTCACAATGGGCCAAATCCTAACTTCAGATACGCTTTTTGTGCAAGTCATGCATAAATGTCAATGGAAGATTTGCTTTAAAATTGGAGTGACAAACATGGATCTCAAGTGAGGTGTTGTCATAGACTAATGTACCACTATGCCCCCAGTTTGTCATGAAATCACCCTATCGTGTAACGTCTTTACATCCCAAATGGCCAGAACGGAACGACTTCGCAAACAACTTCACAGCATGTTTGGTCTTCTCGCTCTCAGATGTGAAGCTGGTTGTGCCCTGGTCGTAAAGTTAGTGCAGGAGCAGGACACATACTGAAGCAGAGTTAGTGCTGCCTTGGTGCTACAGCTGGACCAGGAGGAAACTTACGCATAGCTGGTGCGGCCAAACCCAGGAGTCCTTCCCTGGTTGAGCTCTAGAATCAGCCTGATGTGCACAAATGCGATCCGTTAAACGTGCCAAAGAGAACCCGCCATTCCAATCACACCAAGTGTCAATCAATCAAACAACCAATCAAACGCACAGTCCAAACACCTGAACCTGTCACTCAACCGATAGTAAACACATTCAGTCATACTCACTCCTGAGAGGGGCCGGGTTGTCCTGGGATAGGGCCTGGCCAAAACTGGAAGGCAAAGGTAACGGAGTCGGTTCAACAGAGTTTCACAAAAGCTCTGTCCTCAAGTTATACAGTTGAAGTCGGAAGTTTACATACACCTTAGCCAAATACATTTAAACTCTGCTTTTCACTATTGCTGACATTTAATCCTAGTAAAAATTCCCAGTCTTAGGTCAGTTAGGATCACCACTTTATTTTAAGAATGTGAAATGTCAGAATAATAGTAGAGAGAATTATTTATTTCAGCTTTTATTTCTTTCATCACATTCCCAGTGGGTCAGAAGTTTACATACACTCAATTAGTATTTGGTAGAATTGCCTTTAAATGGTTTAACTTGGGTCAAACGTTTCGGGTAGCCTTCCACAAGCCTCCCACAATAAGTTGGCTGAATTTTGGCCCATTCCTCCTGACAGAGCTGGTGTAACTGAGTCAGGTTTGTAGGCCTCCTTGCTCACACACGCCTTTTCAGTTCTGCCGACACATTTTCTATAGGATTGAGATCAGGGCTTTGTGATGGCCACTCCAATACCTTGACTTTGTTGTCCTTAAGCCATTTTGCCACAACTTTGGAAGTATGCGTGGGGTCATTGTCCATTTGGAAGACCCATTTGCGACCAAGCTTTAACTTCCTGACTGATGTCTTGAGATGTTGCTTCAATATATGCCATCTATTTTGTGAAGTGCACCAGTCCCTCCTGCAGCAAAGCACCCCCACAGCATGATGCTGCCACCTCCGTGCTTCACGGTTGGGATGGTGTTCTTCAGCTTGCAAGCTCCCTTTTTTCCTCCAAACATAACGATGGTCATTATGGCCAAACAGTTATATTTCTCTTTTATCAGACCAGAGGACATTTCTCCAAAAAGTACGATCTTTGTCCCCATGTGCAGTTGCAAACCATAGTCTGGCTTTTTTATGGCGGTTTTGGAGCAGTGGCTTCTTCCTTGCTGAGCGGCCTTTCAGGTTGTGTCGATATAGGACTCGTTTTACTGTGGATATAGATACTTTTGTACTGGTTTCCTCCAGCATCTTCACAGGGTCCTTTGCTGTTGTTCTTGGATTGATTTGCACTTTTCGCACCAAAGTATGTTCATCTCTAGGAGACAGAACGCGTCTCCTTCCTGAGCGGTATGACGGCTGCGTGGTCCCATGGTGTTTATACTTGCGTACTATTGTTTGTATAGATGAACGTGGTACCTTCAGGCATTTGGAAATTGCTCCCAAGGATGAACCAGACTTGTGGAGGTCTACAATTTTTTTTCTGAGGTCTTGGCTGATTTATTTTGATTTTCCCATGATGTCAAGCAAAGAGGCACTGAGTTTGAAGGTAGGCCTTGAAATATGTCAGTCAATTAGCCTATCAGAAGCTTCTAAAGCCATGACATCATTTTCTGGAATTTTCCAAGCTGTTTAAAGGCACAGTCAACTTAGTGTATGTAAACTTCTGACCCACTGGAATTGTGATACAGTGAATTATAACTGAAATAATCTGTCTGTAAATAATTGTTGGAAAAATTACTTGTGTCATGCACAAAGTAGATGTCCTAAATTACTTGCCGAAACTATAGTTTGTTAACAAGACATTTGTGGAGTGGTTGAAAAACGAGTTTTAATGACTCCAACCTAAGTGTATGTAAACTTCTGACTTCAACTATATATTCACAGGCTCATTTGGTCAAGCTTTACATGAAGTAGATCAGGGACTGTACTGTATTCCCATAGCCTACATCAATTACTAGTACAACAATAACATAATACTTGTAAATAGTGTCAATGCAGAACAAAAGCAATCATTGCAACCCCAAACCCAGTGTAGAAGAGCTCACCCTGGCTTGCGGGGGGTAGGGAGAGTGGGGCAGTGGGGGTAGCTGGCTCTTGATCAGGCTCGGAGACACGATCTGAGCAGACGACAATGCTGCCATGTTCTGGAGGGCCTTGTCTTTAGATGCCTGGTCCTGTGGATGAGGAGGAGTAGGTGAGGGAGATGCACCACTAGGGGGCAGTCTAACACCTAGTATACACTGACCTGGTTGACATAACTACTACAGTACTCACAGTGCCCCAAGAGGAACACAGTTGGTTCAATAGTTACAACTATTACTACTAGCTATCACTACTATATTTATACTGTAAATATAACATTCTCTGAGCTTCTTATGTGCTCCCATTAGGATCTTCAGTAAACAAAAAGCAGATCTGAGTCTTAACTGCCACTATGTCTGGAGTACTACCAGGCTACAATAATTAATAAGACATGAAGAGAACATGTATATGATTAATTGTACCATTCAACGAAGAGCAGATGAAAAAGCTTTTAAGCCACATAATCAAACAGAACATTCCAGGAGTCACATGATTCTAATTAGTAGAGACCTTGAAGGAAAAGCCTCTTGCAGAAAGACCACTCTTATTATGGAAAAAGGCAGTAAAATAGAAAATAAGACTGCAATAGTAAAAAGTTCCTCTGTTTCAGAGGACTCTAGATGAATATATACTGTAGGACTAATGGCTGCATTGGCCAGTACACTGCACTGTATATGGTCAGATTGCAATTGGTATGAAGGTGATTTGTCTGGAACGTTCTGCTGATTGTAATGGTCAGTGATAGAAAAGAAAAGCGTAGATGATTAAGCTTGGCATTATTGTACCTGGACATTCAAGAGCATTTAACTTTACTGTATGTCTACCAGCAAAATAACACTGAAACATCAGAAACAGCACTTTGTGTGTGCCTCACCACACTAGAACCAGTATCTAACCCTCATAGCAATATTACAATCATATTGTCATTGTACAAAGCAGAGAGAGAGAGGATAGTTAAGTTGCACTAAACTCCCCAGTCCCCACAGTTGTGGGAGCCGTGAGGTAAAATCTCTAAAGGCCAACACCTTTAGGTGTATTCTCATCACTGTGCAACTATGTGACATTTCTTAGCAGGAGAAACAACATTATCCTACATTTGCCTTGTTGGTAGTATTACTGCCGTCTTGAAATAGGAAAGAGATGTACCTGTAGAAGCAGCAGAAAGCTGACCTAAAGAATCTCCAAATGCCAAATCTTTAGCATCAACAAAGTCAAAATGAAAGTTACAAAACACAGTGAGTGCACTGTGTGAAACTGGTATCAGTGATTTACTGAGCCATAACTGACTATAGACTCTGACCAGGTAGAGGAACACAGGTAATGTTTATGTTTCTCTACAGTATCACACTGTGCTGTGATGATTCTAGCACTAAATGGTGTAAGTGCATCCCTAGGTTAAGTAGTACCGTACACATTGGTAGTGGATGGGGTCATATAACTGTGTACAGTATAGAAGATCGCTGAACCTATGCTCTACACACAGTTGAAGTCAGAAGTTTACATACACCTTAGCCAAATACATTTAAACTCAGCTTTTCACTATTCCTGACATTTAATCCTAGTAAAAATTCCCTGTCTTGGGTCAGTTAGGATCACCACTTTATTTTAAGAATGTGAAATGTCAGAATAATAGTAGAGAGAATTATTTATTTCAGCTTTTATTTCTTTCATCACATTCCCAGTGGGTCAGAAGTTTACATACACTCAATTAGTATTTGGTAGAATTGCCTTTAAATTGTTTAACTTGGGTCAAACGGTTCGGGTAGCCTTCCACAAGCCTTCCACAATAAGTTGGCTGAATTTTGGCCCATTCCTCCTGACAGAGCTGGTGTAACTGAGTCAGGTTTGTAGGCCTCCTTGCTCACACACGCCTTTTCAGTTCTGCCCACACATTTTCTATAGGATTGAGGTCAGGGCTTTGTGATGGCCACTCCAATACCTTGACTTTGTTGTCCTTAAGCCATTTTGCCACAACTTTGGAAGTATGCGTGGGGTCATTGTCCATTTGGAAGACCCATTTGTGACCAAGCTTTAACTTCCTGACTGATGTCTTGAGATGTTGCTTCAATATATGCCATCTATTTTGTGAAGTGCACCAGTCCCTCCTGCAGCAAAGCACCCCCACAGCATGATGCTGGCACCTCCGTGCTTCACGGTTGGGATGGTGTTCTTCAGCTTGCAAGTCCCCCTTTTTCCTCAAAACATAACGATAGTCATTATGGCCAAACAGTTCTATTTTTGTTTCATCAGACCAGAGGACATTTCTCCAAAAAGTACGATCTTTGTCCCCATGTGCAGTTGCAAACCATAGTCTGGCTTTTTTATGTAGGTTTTGGAGCAGTGGCTTCTTCCTTGCTGAGCGGCCTTTCAGGTTATGTCAATATAGGACTTGTTTTACTGTGGATATAGATACTTTTGTACCTGTTTCCTCCAGCATCTTCACAAGGTCCTTTGCTGTTGTTCTGGGATTGATTTGCACTTTTCGAACCAAAGAACGTTCATCTCTAGGAGACAGAACGCGTCTCCTTCCTGAGCGGTATGACGGCTGTATGGTCCCATGGTGTTTATACTTGCGTACTATTGTGTGTACAGATGAACGTGGTACCTTCAGGCATTTGGAAATTGCTCCCAAGGATGAACCAGACTTGTGCAGGTCTACAATATTTTTTCTGAGGTCTTGGCTGATTTCTTTAGATATTCCCATGATGTCAAGCACAGAGGCACTGAGTTTGAAGGTAGGCCTTGAAATACATCCACAGGTACACCTCCAATTGACTCAAATGATGTCAATTAGCCTATCAGAAGCTTCTAAAGCCATGACATCATTTTCTGGAATTTTCCAAGCTGTTTAAAGGCACGGTCAACTTAGTGTATGTAAACTTCTGACCCACTGGAATTGTGATACAGTGAATTATAAGTGAAATAATCTGTCTGTAAACAATTGTTGGAAAAATTACTTGTGTCCTGCACAAAGTAGATGTCCTAACCGACTTGCCAAAACTATAGTTTGTTAACAAGAAATGTGTGGAGTGGTTGAAAAACAAGTTTTAATGACTCCAACCTAAGTGTATGTAAACTTCCGACTTCAACTGTAAATGCACTGCCTCATAATTGGACAAAACAATCTGTGAAAATAATTATAATATTATCTAGGGGACGCTCAATCGGATCGTGATATTGGTCCTTCAAAGTATTGATCAGAAAAAGTTTCTGGTTTTGCATCCAGATTTCACCATGCCTGAACATTCTCTTGGATCACAGTTTTGTATCAACAATAGCCTATGGAATTGGAAGCATTTAGCACATCTGCTAAATATGTGTGTGTGACCAATACATTTTGATTTGATTTGATTTGGAACTGACATGTAATGTTTGCTAATGCTGTTGCAGACTTTTTTTTGTGTCTGCATATGTAGCATAAACTAAACAAGTGTTAAGAAGTATGTCCTCAGAGAAGCAGAATCACCCTGCAAAAACATGATAATCAATCATGATCAGATACGATGCACAGCAATGTGGTTCCAAGCACACACGTTTCCTATTCCTAAGATCTGGTTTATTATGGGATAGTAGTGGGGTTGGGTTGCCATGCCAGCAGAGGGCATTAGCGGAGTGGACAATGCTCTGGCACCGCCAAGCAGGAGGGAAGCAAATCTCAAAAGTCAAATCCACTTACCAAGTTCATGGCCTAAATCAAAGGAAAGAGAAACCATTAGTATACACATCTAAAGGCATATACTTACAGGGATACTGTGATAAACTATGGGTTTGCTTATAGGCTGTGTCAGTACAAACTAAAATCAGCAATAATGGACAAGTTCTAGCTGTACTGTAGGTCACTAGGATGTTGACATAAAATGAATGTTCTTATCCCTGAAGAAAAGCTAGGAAACACTAACTGAAAGACAACAGGTATAATTCATTATAGAGATAGACGGTATAATGCATTATGATGCGCTCATAAATGCATTGCAAGACTTTATAATGACTTAGTATCATCTCCTTTTGAGCCTGTTGAAAAACTGTTACATACAAAGGCAGAACATAGAAAGAGTAAATAATAAAACATTATAAGGACTTATAACAAGTGATAATGCACTATATCTGTTGGCTCTAAGCCAGGGGTGTTAAACATACAACAGGTGGGCCGCATATATCTCACATCAGTCAAATTAATACTAAACCAACTGCAACATCTCTTATGTAGTTCTTTCTAAATACCCCATAAGGAGCCCTGATATAAGGAAATGGGAGCTGAATTTAACTGGGACAGGAACTGCGCTAGGGACAATAATGTAGGGAAAGGTAGAGTATATCCCTCTCATTCCAATAAATGTCCAAACATTGAGGTGGTTACAATAATGCAGGTTCCTTATCAGTCTACTAGATACAGTCTACTAGAAAATAAATAGAGAAGTCTAAATAAAGAAGGTCCAATAAACTTCAATGAAGGCAAAGGGTGAACTAGCAACTACATTTTTGTAAAATGATTTACACAGTATGCTAACTGACAGTAATATACACTTTAACACAATAATTTCCTCAGGCACACTATAAGTGTACGCTGATTCACTTTGTGTTTGCAGTTGTTTTGGGGTTGAGGGATATAATGAAGATCTAAAGCTGGATGAGGATTAGTGTAACTGTAACACCTCTGCCTGCAGTCCTCTGATGATGGAATGAAGACAAGTGGCATGTATTCATTATATATTCATAAGTATTCAGACCCCTTGACTTTTTCCCCATTTTGTTACGTTACAGCCTTAATTTTAAATGTATTAAAGTTTCTACAACTTGATTGGAGTCGACCTGTGGCAAAACACGTTGCTATGACACTTGAAATTGAGCTCAGGTGCATCCTGTTTCCATTGATCATCCGTGAGATGTTTCTACAACTTGATTGGAGTCCACCTGTGGTAAATTCAATTGATTGGACATGATTTGGAAAGGCAAACACCTGTCTATATAAGGTCCCACATTTGACAGTGCATGTCAGAGCAAAAACCAAGCCATGAGGTCGAAGGAATTGTCCATATAGCTCAGAGATAGGATTGTGTCGAGGCACATATCTGGGGAAGGGTACCCCAACATTTCTGCAGCATTGAAGGTCCCCAAGAACACAGTGGCCTCCATCATTCTTAAATGTAATACGTTTGGAACCACCAAGACTCTTCCTAGAGCTGGCCGCCCGGCCAAACTGAGCAATCTTGGGAGAAGGGCCTTGGTCAGGGAGGTGACCAAGAACCCAATGGTCACTCTGACAGAGCTCCAGTTCCTCTGTGGAGATGGGAGAATCTTCCAGAAGGACAACCATCTCTGCAGCACTCCACCAATCAGGCCTTTATGGTAGAGTGGCCAGACGGAAGCCCCTCCTCAGTAAAAGGCACATGACAGCCCGCTTGGAGTTTGCCAAAAGGCACCTAAAGGACTCTCAGACCATGAGAAACAAGTTTTCTGGTCTGATGAAACCAACATTGAATTCTTTGGCCTGAATGGCAAGCGTCCCATCTGGAGGAAACCTGGCACCATCCCTTCGATGTTTTTCAGTGGCAGCGACTGGGAGACTATTCAGAATTGAGGAAAAGATGAACGGAGCAAAGGACTGAGAGATCCTTGATGAAAACCTGCTCCAGAGTGCTCAGGACCTCAGACTGGGGCGAACGTTCACCTTCCAACAGGACAACGACCGTAAACACACAGCCAAGACTCGAACCCGATCTAGCATCTCTGGAGAGACCTGAAAATAGCTGTGCAGCGACGCTCCCCATCCAACCTGACAGAACTTGAGAGGATCTGCAGAGAAGAATGGGAGAAACTCCCCAATTACCAGTGTGCAAAGCTTGTAGCGTCATACCCAAGAAGACTCGAGGCTGTAATCGCTGCCAAAGGTGCTTCAACAAAGTACTGAGTAAATGTCTGAATACTTATGTAAATGTGATATTTCCATTTGTATTTATTTGCTTTGTCATTATAGGGTACTGTGTGTAGATTAATGAGGATGTTTTTTTTTTGTAATCCGTTTTAGAATAAGGCTGTAACGTAACAAAATGTGGAAAAAGTGAAGGGGTCTGAATACTTTCCAAATGCGCTGTAGATATATATTCTGCTGAATATACGCAGAGGAGCATGATGAGGAATAGGGCACACTCATTATTATCTAGAAATTCAAGTAGTATAGCAGAAGTATACAGGTAGGACACTTGTTCTAAGCACACTGCTATAGTAGTGCAAACCATATGATGGTTTAATTCTAACATTTAGGTCTTTGCATACGATTGGAGTAGTTGACTCTCATACAGAAGAAAGAACATTCAGAGAGATCCAATGGAGATTGGGGTCAGAGAGGAGAGAAGGGTTGAAGGCAGAGGAAGATTTGAGGAAAGCCTATAGGCAGAAGCATGGCTGGCATAGGTACAATAGGGACAGACGTGGAGCTGTAGCGACAAGGCCATCATGCAGCAACACCGTTCACCACAGACAGATCATACTGCTCACAGCATTCCTCTAGGCTACACCACAGGCTGAGTGACTGTATACAGGATAACCAGTAGACTAAAGACAGCTCCTATAATGTCATTTCTTTACAGCTTTGTACAGTACTGTACTAAGCATTGAGATGTATTTCAGTGGTCAACAGATGACCATGTTTTTAGCCGTTTCTCCCTGTTCCGTGAATGCATGGTAGCTACTAGCTATAACTTGTTGCTCTAGTCTCTCCGAGACACGTTAGCCTACATGATGAGTCACACGGTGACCTCAAGCCAATACACCCCTATGCAGACAGAGAGTCTCCTACTGTACTATTTACCATGGTTGGTATTTTCTAGTCATGGAGAACCTATCCATCTACGGCTGTAAGAGGAACTGAAGTGCACAACGTCTAGCTACTTGGTTAGCGCAAAGCCAAGCCTTGACCAGCCCCGCCCAGCCCAGCCCGCAGAGAAGCGCATACCTTCAGCTTTGACTGGATCTCGCGAGATTTTCTCCGGGCGAGAACCTGCAAATGGCTAGAAACCTGCAGAGAAGAAGAGCCAAGAGGAGAAGAGCCAAGAAAAGAAGAGCCAAGAGGAGAAGAGTCAAGAGAAGAAGAGAAAAGGAGACCGAGAGAGAGAGAGAGAGAGAAGAGAAGAGAGGCCGTAACCAAGGAGGAAAGAGATGCCCAGTCACAGTTGGCAGGAGGCCCGTTCAGTAGCACCTACCTTGATACCTGCTTGGTATTCTCGAACTTTCTTCCGTGCTAACACCTGTATGTGACTAGATACCTAAAGGGGTGCGAGACAGTTATAAACATATAGAGTATGCACACACACACGGACATACATATGGATACATACATACACACCCACCAAACACACACATACCAAATACACACACACCAAACACACACACACAATATTATACAGCTCCTCAAACATCAAATGAAGGCGATTCACACAACGTTACTTTATTTGTATTTTTTTTTTTTTATCTTTGATTTGAGTTGGATGGTGTTACTTGTCTTCAGTACAAATAGAAGAGATTTAATTTCTACAAACTAAAAGAATACTGACACAATTGGCTGAGCTATTACTGCAATCCATATTTATCTAGTTCCCATGTTCCAAATGTTACACCTACAGGATATCTAATAAGTCTTGTAGACTTATATAAATTGAGGTACATTTGCTCAGGATATGAGTGTCTGCTAAATGACTTTGTCTGCTAAATGACTTAAATGTAAATGTAATGTAAAATGAAGTCATTATAAAGTCTGAGTGGTAAAACATTTTTATCAACTCATTGCTGTAAAATAAAAAGTATTGTTACCTGTTTTCTTGTGCGGGTTTTGCCTGTCCTCAGCTTGATGTACCTAGCTATCAACTCATTACGACCTGGAACAGAGAGGTGAACAATACCATGAAGAATACAACCTGAAAACAAAGACAAATCTCATTCACACATTTAGCAACCATTTGTGAAATTAGCTTTTCTATAGCTGGTACACAGATGATAAAGGAGTAGGCACTGAACTAAGGTCAGTTAAGCATTTTTCACCCTAAAGGTTGTTCAGATTTGGAAAGAAAAGGCTGATCCTAGATCTGTGTCTGTGGGCAACGTCTACATTAACATGATTATACACAACAAACACAAGGTGGAGCTAAAGGTCTGCTGCTAAATATCTCCAGGAGCTCAACACAATGCTAGGTGCAGCAAACCGTCGACCTCCAAAAAGGTTCTTATTAGGAGCACACACATTACTCAACCTTTCAGTCAGTAGGTGAACATTTGTTTATAGCACTGACCCTGGGACATGAGTTGCAGAATGTTTTAAACAGGCGAATAAAACAACGACAACTGGCTGGTTCAGGAGCTTTGATTTCATTAGCTCGTCTGACACCTCCTGCGGTCACATAATTACAGACACAGTACTTAAAAAAAATAGAAGGAACATGTTGTTCATTATGTAACATCTACACTTGACATTCTGCACAAACAGGTCGGGCAGAGAAGGGCCTTCTATTCTTGGCTTTAATGGCTTTAGCCCAGACAGATGACAGGGGCTTTAAAGGGGTTACTTTTCTCTGAATGCAACTTATCTGGACGTTTTTCAAATGAGAGAGCAACAGAACAGTGGAATCTATCAATGCTCTAAGTGATTAGTATTTTCCAGGTACAGTTTGGGTTTCTTTTGTACTCGGTAGAGAGGTCTGCATTTCAAAACATCTCACTTTAACATTTGCTGACTAGTTAGAGTAATGATTGGAAGTTCCCCTTAAGAGGATCGGTATGTGTCTGTGTATCAGAGTGTAGGTGTATTTATGTGAAAGAAGGAGATAGATTAATAAAGGGAGAAAGAGAGACAACAGTTGCACTATCATGAATAATGACCTAAACTCCCCCACACGCTGACAGTAACTGAGAGTCAGCCATGCGCTCATGGCACTCCCTCTAAAACACGCACACACACTCGTTTGTTTTACTATCCTTGTGGGAATCAAACAATTTATTCCCATTCAAACTCCTTTTATCCCTAACTCCTAACCTAACCCTTACCTTAACCCCTAACTCCTAATCTTAATTGTAACCCTAATTGTAACCCTAAACCTAATCCCTAAATTTAAATTAGCGTTTTTCCTTGTCCCCAGCGAAATGTCCCCACAAGCCTTTTTCCTTGGCCTTCTTTAGGCTCTGCTCTGCTTGGTGTAATTAACATAAAAGTACTACATGTCAGGAGAGGAGTGCAGGCAGGCCATCTCTAGCAGGCTATCCTTGAGCCCACTGTGTCCTCTGTTTCTCTCTCTCTTTCTCCCCTCTGTCTGTCTCCCCTCTCTCTCTCTCTCCTTGTTCTCTCTGTCTGTCTCCCCTCTCAATTCAATTGAAGGGCTTTATTGGCATGGGAAACGTATGTTAACATTGCCAAAGCAAGTGAAGTAGATAGTAAACAAGAGAAAGAGAGAGAGAGAGAGACAGAGAGAGGGGAGACAGACAGAGGGGAGAAAGAGAGAGAGAGAGGGGGAGAGACAGAGAGAGAGACAGAGAGAGGGGAGACAGACAGAGGGGAGAGAGAGAGAGAGAGACAGAGAGAGGGGAGACAGACAGAGGGGAGAAAGAGAGGGGGGGGAGAGAGAGAGAGAGACAGAGGGCACAAGGATAGCCTGCTAGAGATGGCCTGCCTGCACTCCTCTCCTGACATGTAGTACTGTTATGTAAATTACACCAAGCAGAGCCTAAAGAAGGCCAAGGAAAAAGGCACATGTTTAGCTTTTCTCTTTGTTCTCTCTCTCTCTCTCTCTCTCTCTCTCTCTCTCTCTCTCTCTCTATTTCTCCCCTCTCTCTGTCTCTGTCCCTCTCTTTCTCCCCTCTGTCTGTCTCCCCCCTCTCTGTCTCTCCCCTCTCTCTCTCTGTCTCTCTCTCTCTCTCTGTCTCTCTCTCTCTCCCCTCTGCCTGTCTCCCCTCTCTGACTCTCTCTCTCCCTCTCTCTCTATCCCCTCTGTCTATCTCCCCTCTCTGACTCTCTCTCTCCCTCTCTCTCCACTAAGCTGAGCTGCCTGGCCTGCCGATACTGAACTAAAGCAGCCAGTCAGTCAGCCAGCCGGCCGGCCGGCCCCTCCCCCAGGATTAGGAGGGACACGCCCGCCCCAGCGCCTCCACATTCCTAGCATTCCTCCCAGCCTGTCACATCTGTGCTAGCCAGTCTGATTGGCCAGGGCCCTGCTAGCGCAGCCGGTGCCAGTGTGGACTGCGGACACACACATGCACACAGCACTAAGCAAGGGTTGGCTGGCGGGGCTGAAGGTTGAGGGTGTGGTGAGGGGTTGGGGGTGAGGGATACGTGGTACGGGGTGAGGGATTGGGGGTGAGGGGTACGGGGTATGGGGTCAGGGGTTGAGGAGGGGGGTGAGGGGATGTGAGGGGTAGGGGGTGGAGGGTGAGTGGTTGGGGTGGTGGAGGGTGAGGGTTTGGACGGTGAGGGGTAGGGGGTGGAGGGGGTAGGTGGGCAGCTGAGGCTGTAACTCTTGGAGGAGACACAAAGCCATAACTGTCTTTAACCAACAACTGCTACCCCCACCCCACACACACACATACACAGCCCTCCCTTCCCAAAATAACCAGTGTGTGACCCCTTACCCAACGGACAGTAACACCTGCCACTGACTGTCGCAGTCAGGAGGTGGGAGAGAACAATTACAACCCCCCTACACCCCTGGCCTGGCCCCCGACCCCTACCCTCTTCAGCCCAACTGCTACTATCAATCTTCTGGACTGAGGGAGCAGTGGAACTAAATAACAAACTAATGGCTGATAGAATCTGTGCCCTCTGTACCGAATACACATTTTCAACACAAAATTAACTGGAATTGAGCTTAATTTACAAAGGCAGTTTAAAAAAATGTGTTCTGTGTGTCCTCATTAAAGGTTGTAACATAAGTAACTGACTGGGGTTGTGAGCCATGGAATTAGCAAGTCTTTTAGACAGGACTTTTGCAAAGAAGAAGATTGATTTAGAGAGGCAGACTGGCTAGGCCTGTTCAGACTAGACAGACAGAAGGGACAGCTAGGCGGAAGAGAAGGGGTGTCCCAGGCCTCAAGTAAGGTGGTGGACAGGTTGGCACACACACTCACAGTCTAAGTTACAAACAAAGGATAGCTAATACACACACACACACCGCAGAGGAAGACAACAAGTGCACGCACACACACACACACACACACACACACACACTCACAGTCCAAGTTACAAACAAAGGACAGCTAACACACACACACACATGCACAAGTGTACGCACACACAATAACTTTCTGTACATCTCCCTCACTTGCCTTCTTACCTCTATCTATATCGCCAACCACTCTACTTCACCCTGTTTCCACCCCCTCTCTCTCTCTCTCTCTCTCTCTCTCTCTCTAACGCTCTCTCTCTCAGATTGCTCAACACCTAGGCAGTTTGCAGAGCCCCGCAGGCTGACTCTGCCGTGATTAACCTCTTCCCTGCCAGGACAGGCCTATCCTCCTCTTTTACTGCATGTCAACTGGAATTTTCCACTTACACACTGAGATGGGGAGCAGAGGTAACTCACTGCTTCTCTCTCTCTCTCTCTCTCTCTCTCTCTCCTCTCTCTCTCTCTCTCCCTCCCTCCCTCCCTCCCTCCCTCCCTCCCTCCCTCCCTCCCTCCCTCCCTCCCTCCCTCTCTCTCTAGCTCCCTCTCTCTCTCGCTCCCTGTCTATCTATCTCCCTCCCTCTCTCGCTCTCTCTCTCTCTCTCTCTCTAGCTCCCTCTCTCTCTCTCGCTCCCTGTATATCTATCTCCCTCTCTCTCGCTCTCTCCCACCTTTCACATTGAGGTAATCATAAATTGCTAACATACTGTTTGGCCATGACAGACAACATTCCTGACATCTCAGCTAGACGCTGACAGGGAAACACCAGGCCCTCTTCGTCATCACACGCTGCTTTCCTTTCCACTCCCATCTTGTCTATCAAACTGATGTTCAGCCCAACTAGCATACTCATCCACCAACTGCTGCTTCTATTACTCTGTCCTTCTACTAACTCTGTGCATGCAATGAACCCATCGCTCATTCATAGCGCGCAAAGGTCACTAGGAGACATGTTTCCCTCCAGTGCCCTATTTTTCTGTTTTTTTCCTTCTTACCCAGAGTGCATTGCAGGAGGAGAATGTGTGCTCAGGGCTTGGCAGCATGACTTCCTCCAGCGAGATAACACAGGTGAACAATATTTCAGCAGTGCCCCACCACAAAACAAGACAGGCCACAATTTTATTTTATTTTTTACACACATTCATCCTCCCTACATCCTCTCCTCCACCTGTCCCCTGAACTCTGCTGGGTGGTGGCCCAATATACACAGACGAACCATGGCCTCCATGTTCCAACCATTTTGGGGGTGTTCTACTTATTGATTTTTCATTCCAAATTCTATTTTTCATCTCAAGGTCATCTGACATTCTTTACCATAGGTGCGAAACCTGGTCAATTCTGAGCGCCACATGATACCTGTGGTCAGTAGTCATCACGGAACACTACCGATTTCCCACAAGAACATTCCTTGTGGAAAGATCCAGATGGAATTCCCAACGGGAGGGATGATGATGACTTGCCTGGTTTTGGAGGCCACGGCATTGGGCTTGCAGCGCTCCCCCAGTCAGAGACTGTAGAGTAGACAGTATTACGCACAGTGCAATCGTTAAAATTCCCCTGGCCTCGCGTCAGGGCAGAATTTAGATGTCTGAGGTCATCGCCTTGTGAGAAGGCTTCTTCTGGGCTGGGGGCATGCCTCGCTGCCAGGAGGGCCTCAGATGACGTAAATCGATAGGGTGTTTACTGGTCTGGAAAAAAGAAAGCAGCCGCTCTTCTTGACCTCTACTGGGGGTCCTGACAGTGTGCTGCGAAGGGAGGGAACACGCTGTGGTTCGACTTGCCACTTCTGTTGTGCTCCTTTTCTGACAAATAACACTGAGCTAAAGGTTCTGAACACTTCACTGTCCTGCTAAACCAGGAGAGGAGCCACCATCTTGCTTTTCCATTTAAGTATCTTCTTCAATAGATTCAAGGGAAGGTCAATAGACAGACAGAGGTTAAACCATGGCAATGCTGTCAGAGCAAACTGTGCACTTCTGCAGTGCTATTAATGCATCATCGCGTAATTGGCAATAAATAAACAAATTCACAGACACATGAAAGTGGTGTTAAACTGGCCCATTTTCATTCATAGTAGGTTACCTGTAACACCCAACAAGCCAACTATGAAATAGCATTTAGCAACAGGTCCCTCTGACATATAGCCAGGTCACTGAATATGCTCATAAGCTAGCTGGCTAGCCATCCAGTCAGATCAGATACAGTTAAAATGACGTAACTGTAACCGGAGGCAGACTCCACACCACATCTCCCAGGAGAGGAGAGCCAGTCAGATTTCCGGCCTTGTTTAGACCCCAGCCAGCCTAACCAGAAACGCAACTAGCACAGCGGCAGTTAACACAACGGCAGCTAGCACAGCGGCAACTAGCAAAGCGGCAGTTAACACAATGGCAGTTAGCACAACGGAAGCTAGCACAGCGACAGCTAGCAGCTTAGTCATCTGTCTGTCCACTAACAATCAAATCTGTCTCAGAACCCAAAGAACGACATTCCTGACAGACGCATGCTAAACATTCCATCTTACAGCAGCAAGGACAGAACAACAACGCAGACAGCCATGAAAATAAAAATAAAAAATCCCCTAAATATATACAGTCTTTAAACACTTTCTGATAGAAGCCGATGGTGGATTTAAAATGGTTTCAACGGTGCAGGATTCAATTCAAGTTTATGAGACATTAACAATAATGAAAGGACTTGATGGTTACACAACGGGACTTGAGGAGGAGACTCAGCCTATATCATGCTGGTTAACATAAGAGGTTTCGTGAGGACATTGTGAAGTCAAACCCCCTGAATAAGCCCCCATCTCAACCCATGCTCCATGCATTTCCTGCCCATTCAAATTTCAAGCTGTTTTATGTCCTCCAACTTGGCTGTCTTATTCAAATCATCAGCCCAGCCAGCCAATCCCCTGTTTTATCACCCATCAGCAGCCCAGCCAGCCAATCCCCTGTTTTCTCACCCATCAGCAGCTCAGCCAGCCAATCCCCTGTTTTCTCACCCATCAGCAGCTCAGCCAGCCAATCCCCTGTTTTCTCACCCATCAGCAGCCCAGCCAGCCAATCCCCTGTTTTCTCACCCATCAGCAGCTCAGCCAGCCAATCCCCTGTTTTCTCACCCATCAGCAGCCCAGCCAGCCAATCCCCTGTTTTCTCACCCATCATAAGGAGAAAGAGTAACTTTAGACAAATGCAGCCAGTTTCTAACACCTAGATGTTTCATGATTCTAACCAGCAACTTGCCAATTTCTCCCTCTGGATGCAGAGGATTTCAGCACGTAAAGTGCACTCTCCACCTACGATTTAATGAACATGCTGGTGGAGGAAATAACTTAGATCCCTATAGGACCTTGTGAAGGTTTTATAGCGCTCTTTGTAATGTTTTTGTTTCCATGGTTTGATTTATGGCGTTGAGATACCAATTGCAAAGTCGGTCCAACTGGTTCAAGAAGCAGCAAAAGCTACTCTGGAGACCAGGTGAGCGACAGTGCATAACTGGTTATTGCAAGAAGCACCTTAGTGTGTTAGACTGACATGAAGTTATGAAGGACACTTGGTTTTACTGCAAAAGCAGATAATAGGTTTTGCCACTTTCCTAATTCACAGTAGGTCTAAGGACTGCAGTTGAGGAACAGAAGAGCAATAAATGGCAGGTGGCAAATAGTTGGAGACAGCACTGACAGGTGATGACACTGACAGAACCGGTTTGGAGCGCTAAGGAAAGCCAGGTGAAAACCAGGCTAAGGGGAACTGCCTGTGGTGTCTTCTGGGTAACTCAGCTCCAGCACTGATGCTATGTTTCTAGTGAGACTGGAAGAACCAGGCCCTGGGTCAGGGGAGGGCAGGCTCAGACTTGTTCGGTAGAGCACTCTCTGAAAAAATTGCCATGACAAAATCGTATGGGAGAGTGGGAAACGTTGCTTTCTTTGCTTATATGCACTGAGCAAGGACGGCTAGAGCCTCACCATGATGTGGTGATTAGAATGCTAAGAAAAATATCAAGTAACAGTAATATTGAACATAAAAGAAACAGCATGTTTCTTTCTATAGGTCGTTATCAATAACATCATATTGAAACATTCCATTCCCAGCTGGGGGGCAAGCCACAGCACGCTCCAATGCATTACAGAGCAGAACACAGCTGGAGTACACCTACATCTCTCAGTATATTGGCCCCCAATTAATTGGATATTTGAGTGATATAAAATAAAACTGTACTTTACCTGACAAGTATGTGTGGTTTAGGTAAATTTTCCATCCATTGTGGCCTCTGCCTGTCAAGCAGCAGAAGGGCGCAATTGCCCATGTAACACTAGCTAGAAATATGTTTGCCAGCTAGCAACTTTGTAAAGTCGCCTAAACATTATGGTAAGTTATATACTTCTATCTCCAACCAACATACCTTAGCTAGCTAATATTACACCTCATTCAACATTGATTTTAAGGCTGTTTAACCACAAATGCTGCTGGAAACCAACTTCTAAAGACATTGATTAATGGACCATCTATACCTATTGCCTATAGTAGTAATGACAGTAGTCAAGACAGACAACTTTACCAGGACAAGTTTAGACTAAAAATGTAGGCTACTTGCCGATGTCAAGCTCTTTCCAAAAACCTTCTCTGATGAAGCAAGCTAAATGATACAGGTTGTTTGCTTAGCTACATGCCAAATGGATAAGCTACCCTCACGTAGCCTATCTGAAATTACATGATGTTTACTAGGGGTGTAATAGTTCACCAAACCCAAGGTTCGGTACGTATTGCGGTTTTGGGGTCAAGGTTTGATTTCGGTACAGAGGGAATATTAATACTGCAGTGGGCTAAATCAGGGTCACACAGAGTGATTCTTGGTAGTCTTAAACAAATCTACTTTGAAACAAAAGTATACACCTCACACACATGGTTATGGGCTTTAAAAAAAGAAGACACCTGTACCATGTCAGATATAGAGTTGAAATGTATTACATTTTGAATTTGCATCCCAATATTACACTTTATATACATCACAAGACTGAAATATAACGAAAACGCTAGATTATGAATTATGAAATTATGAAAAATATTAATCACATTCCACCCATGAGGCCACTAGGTCATTTGACTGCAGGAAAGGGCTTCATGCCATTCACAATGTTCAGCATTCACAATGTTCCTGGCATTGTCTGTTGTGATGTTGGAGGTGGGAATTTACCATTTGTAAAGTCCTTAATAACAGTTGGGTGCATTCATGTGATTTTAACTAGTTGAGAAACGCCGATTGGCTAATGGCCAACAAGCTGCATCATCCATAAACTAAAAGTACAGCTATCAGGCTTATAAACTATGGAACGCCATTTGGGTCTTTGCGTGTCAAAAAAAGATTGCGTTATTTTACGTGTCAAATAACACTATTTGCCGCATCAAATAAGCCTGTTGACCAATCAGGACCTGAATATGACTGCACACCACATAATAATTTAACACGTTCATTACTTTTTTTATGTAGGTTATTACAAATTGATTACACTATCTCTCGTATTTCATTAGTCACAGCGAATCACCGAAACGTATGCTATGATGCTGGTAAAGTTATGTCTCGCGCACATGCTACACTTGAAAGCTCTGGGACAGTGCTGGTCATAAAAAAAGCTAGCTAGCTATAATAATAATAATAATATAATATTTAGCAGACGCTTTTATCCAAAGCGACTTACAATCATGCGTGCATACATTTTTTTTTTTTTTTGTGTATGGGTGGTCCCGGGGATCGAACCCACTACCTTAGCGTTACAAGCGCCGTGCTCTACCAGCTGAGCTACAGAGGACCACAATGATGGATGCAAACAATGTTCTTTCCCAAAAACATAGCGAAACGACTAATCTGTTTCAGTAGCTATAGTTAGCTAAGTAACTATCTAGCTAGGTGTCATAATCTAAAATACCCCTAATTTATAAAACAGTTATTTGATTAACGATGGTCGGACCCACCTATAGCTAGCCACAATAAGGATTAGTCACAATAGTTGAATTTGCGGTTCGACTTCAAAATAAAGGTATCTAATTGAAAGTGATGCAAATAGTGCCATAATAGAATAGATCATGCTAAATTAATTTGGAATGTTGTTATATAAATTCAACAAAAGACAATTTGCTAATTTGACAAAAATCTGTTGAAATCACACCGTGGATGCATTAGACTTTAGAATTGCATTGGGAGCATACTTATTTAACTGTACAGCCTTAC